ATCCCAGCACTTTGGGAGGCCAAGGCAGGCAGGTCACCTGAGGTCAGGAGTTCGAGACCAGCCTGGCCAACATGGTGAAACCCCGTCTCTACTAAAAATACAAAAATTAGCCAGGCGTGGTGGTGGGCGCCTGTAATCCCAGGTACTCAGAAGGCTGAGGCAGGAGGAGAATCGCTTGAACCCAGGAGGCAGAGGTTGCAGAGCCGAGATCGCGCCACTGCATTTCAACTTGGGTGAGAGAGCAACACTCCGTTTCCCCCATCAAAAACAAAACAAAACAAAACAACCCAACACAACGCACAGGAAATCAGGAAATAACCAGACAAAATTCTTTGGTAAATAGCAATCACTGCTTGTCTAAAGGACATCAGGATCCCATTCCAAACTTTAATAAATTAGGTAGTAGGTATGGAAGGGATATTAAATAATTCTTAAAAATAAAAATTTTAATTTAATATAATCAATTATATTTCATAATTATAAACAATATATTCTTTTTAGTTTCTCTCCCATAAAAGAGGTAAACTGTATGTTACATAATACATTATATAACAGAAAACTGTATGTATAATAAAATTCAGTAGCATCTGGGAGAAAAAAATATAACTTTAAATGCAATTAATAGACTGCTTCTAACATGTAAAATTTACCAGATTCCAAAAGTTAAGCTTCTTAAGTTAAAAATGAAGTTTAAAAAACACGTTAAGCCTCTATGGAGACAATTTTATTTGTTTTAAAAAACAGATCAAATCCTTTGAAAGCAAATGTCATCACATCAACACTTTCATCTGTGGAATACTAAATATCTACTTAGAAAATGAGAAAGACCTTTTTTTTTTTTTGAGACAGAGTCTCGCTCTCTCGCCAGGCTGGAATGCAGTGGCGCGATCTCTGCTCACTGCAAGCTCCACTTCCTGGGTTCACGCCATTCTCCTGCCTCAGCCTCCCGAGTAGCTGGGACTACAGGTGATCGCCACCGCGCCCAGCTAATTTTTTTGTATTCTTGGTAGAGACGGGGTTTCACCATGTTAGCCAGGATGGTCTTGATCTCCTGACCTCGTGATCCGCCCGCCTCAGCCTCCCAAAGTGCTGGGATTGAAGGCGTGAGCCATCGCGCCTGGTCAACATTTTTTGTAGTATACTTTCGAACTATTAAAAATTTTTTTTTACCATGTACATTTTAAACTACTCATTCAAAAAAAATGTAATGGGGAGCTGGTCAAGTTACTAGACCTATTTGACTACAAGATTTGACTAGTAAAGCAGCTGAACTATTATCTAGATAATATCTATTGAATAAATGAATGAAATGGTGCCCACTTTTTTAGTCAGGTTAGGATTTGTATGCACTTTATCTCTTGAACTGATGGCAGATTAAGTGATAAAACAGCTAACCAAGAAGTAAATACATCATCAAAAGAGAGAATTCACAGACCACGAATATTTATAGGTTACCTGCTAAAGAGCAGGCAAGCAGGCAGGCAAACTGGCACAGAGAGCACTAAGTCTGTTTCTAAGGTGAGTTTCCATAACCAAAAACAGACCAGAAAAATGTTAAGTCAAATATAAGTAGAAGATTGACGGCTCTCAGCATGAGGGTTAATCCAGCAAGGAAGAGATTCACAAAGACAAATGGTTTTTAATTCTAGTTAGTTATTTTTGATTGAAGCAGGTAAAACAAAAATCTGTTGATAGATCTTTAAGTTTTTAAGTCTTTAGGTTTTTAGTATAATAATTCTGGGCCTTCAACTCAGGTACTATCCATCTAACAATAAAACAATGGTGACCATTAATTATTTACCTGTGTTATAAAAGTAATATGAAAGGTGTTTTCTAAAAGAATTAGGGAATGGTTACTGACTTATACACTGGAATAGCAACATTTTGAGTGTTTCTTGGGGGGCAGTAGGGAAGGTGCGGTTCAGACAGGAAGTAGATATGGGGTTGTGGAGGTGGGAGAGGAGACAGGTAGAAATAGAGGAAAGGAGAAGAAGGAAAATGGAAATGAAAACTCCCCCCCATAGGCTGAAGATACCTTTAATTCAACTTTTAAAAATCACTTCTTCATAAAGATTCAGAAACCCTGAACCAAGAGAAAGGAAGGTAACCAATGAAATGAACTCCACTTCCATTTCTTAATGATGAATGGTTAAACTAGAGATAAAATATGAAGAAAAGAGACAGCTACATCCTAGACACCAAGTGCCTATTTAAACCTCTGTAAGAAATAAATGTGAGAGATCAAGAATTTATTCCTGGAACTGAAGTCAGGTTGGAATATTCGCTCTATAAAAACCTAAGTAGGTGGTCTTGAAAATGTTCCAAAAGGCCTTTCTTGCCTGATCTCCCTAAAGTAGAGCAGAGTGACTAGAGACACAATAGCCAGACTCTTTACTTGATGAAGACATGGCCCTTGAGTACAGTGACATGAGGAAAACTGGATTGAAAACACTGCCTTTAGTCATTTTTTAACCCAGATAGGGGCTAAACTACATTTGGAGACTTCTAAATTATTACAGAACTCGGTGAGCTTAAATGCTTTTTCTATATTTCTTACAAAAAAATCTAAGGTTCAATAGTTGTTTTGGTTTTTTTGTTTTGTTTTGTTTTGTTCGAGATGGGGTCACGCTGTGTGACCCAGATGGAAGTGCAATGGTGTTACCATGGCATACTGCAGCCTCAAATTCCTGGGCTCAAGCTATCCTCCAGCCTCAGCCTCCCCAGTAGCTGGGACTGGAGGCACACATTACCATGTGCGGCTAATTTTATGATTTTTTAAAAATAGAGACAGGGTCTCACCATGTTGCCCAGGCTGGTCTCCAACTGCTGGGCTCAAGCGATCCTCCCATCTCAGCCTCCCAAAGTGTAGGGATTACAGGCGTGAGCCACTGCACCTGGATGGCTCAACAGTTTTAATTCAGCTGAGAAATTTCTAATTCTTTGGCCTATAGAAGGCAGATAATGCTTATCACTGAAGAGAATTAAATTTTCCTAAGTTTTCAAATGAAAAGATGGGCATATCATTCAGCAAAAAGTTTGGGCTTAGCTACCTACTTATCACCTAGATTACTTAAACTGCAAATTCCTAAACCCCATCTCCAGAGATTCCAAATCAGTAGGAGTGGAAGCCCAAGAAATAAACATTTCCTATATATTTTCATGTACATGCCAAGGGATTCCAATTGAGGTGATACAAGAACAGAATTTGGGGAACATTGTTCTACATTCCTAAGAATGGTCCTAACTATACTACCAAGAAAGAAAAACAGCAACAAGAAGCAATTTGTAGACTTCTGGACATTGTAATTGCAAACATATTTTTTCTATTGTTTTAATATAAAAGATGCTCTCATAGTTGCTGTGCAGAAATGTGTTATGGCTCCTATATCCCTTGAATCAGATGTTGACCTCTGAGAGTGGTATTTTCTGGACATGTTCGATATACATATCAAGGCCATGCATAGTTCAAATTTTACCATAATAACACAAGTTATTAAGAGTAAGCAACAACAAAAAATGATGGCTGCTTACCTCCAGGGAAGGGGAACTAAGACACTGAGAGCTGGAGATAGGAGGAAACTTTTTACAGAATACTGTTTTGAACTATTTAATTTTTTTTTTTAAAGGATTCAAGAATGGATAATACATGTGTTAGGAGGAGAGGACAAACAACCAACAGTTGTTACAAAGTGTTTTAAGAACCATTTCATTCCCCCTTCAGAAACAATTCAATAGTTCAGAGTAGCAGTCTAGCAAGATGGAAGAGTTAATTTACACAAACACTCTGGATTGCAGGGCAACAGATGGCAGACACTGTTAAGCAAGCAATCTCTTGAGTTAATAGAATTCTTGTGTCTAGGCCAACTTTAATTGCTGTGTCAAACCTATTCAGTAATTCCAGCTCAATGAGGAATGGGAAGCAAGCAGCAAGGAGGAGAAAAAGGGGAGGGAGGCAGCATCACTTTCCTATGTTCTAGGTGGCACCTAAACTGCTGTCCCTTTAAATTAGAGTGCTGTGTAACAGCTATCTGAAGGACAGAAATTAAGGAAAAGTGTTAGGGAAGAAGGGAAATGAACCACCTAGCATGTGGGACGCAGAAAATGGTTCCATATTTTCTTCCTGGTATGCAATGCAGTACACATTAAAGTTTTCAAACACTCAAATACTTAGTCTTTTGTTTTCGCTGTATTACTAAGTAACCGGGAAGGGTGTGAGCCTATTTGAGCCTACAGGATAAAAGAATTAAATTTGGAAAATAAGTACAGAAAGGCCTCTGTGTTCCAGATAAAGAAGATAAACTATAAGAAATAAAACAACTTTGAAATTATTTTTTTCCAACACAGAAACAATTATTATCATTTGTTCTACATCATGTAAAAGTAAAGTATTTTTCTATAATTGAACCCATAAACTAATGTCTTTCAAAACCACACAAGGCATAGCTTTGGAGTTTCAGGGTTTTTTTGGTTTTTTTTTTTTTTTGAGACGGAGTCTCGCTCTGTCGCCCAGGCTGGAGTGCAATGGCGCAATCTCGGCTCACTGCAAGCTCCACCTACCGGGTTCATGCCATTCTCCTGCCTCAGCCTCCTGAGTAGCTGGGACTATAGGCACCTGCCACAGCGCCCAGCTCATTTTTTGTATTTTTAGTAGAGACGGGGTTTCACCGTGGTCTCAATCTCCTGACCTTGTGATCTGCCCACCTCGGCCCCCCAAAGTGCTGGGATTACAGATGTGAGCCACCATGCCCGGCCGAGTTTCAGTTTTTTTTTTAAAAAAAAGCATATAGAAGCATTAGCAAAATGTTTCCTGCTGTTCAAGACTCAGCTATTCTTTTTTTCCTGAGATGACACCAAGTCCAAATTCCTGAAAAATAGGATTTTTGCTTGGGGAAAAAGGAAATACTTTGTAACTTCTCTTGTTAAGAAAAAATGTTTCAAAAAGCAGTTCTACTTGAGTAAACAGAAATATAAGCACAGAAGACAAACCGATGACTTCTTACCTTGCTACCATTTTCAGGTTTAAGGTCACTCTGTTTAAAAAAAAGGAAAACAAATAATATTTTAAGACATATCCAAATGAATTCTCATTATATGCTTGTTTCTAACTTTGGAATATGAGACTGTATTCTGGTGATAGTGAATTCCCTGGGAGACTTGAGGATCATAGAAAGATACCCCTACTCTGAGCATATCACGGTCCCTTGTTAGCATGGTATATACAGACAGTTTTAAAAGTCCATAATTACTACCTTTAGCAAGGAGCTTGCAAAAACAAGCAAACCACTATTTTAGGTAGAGGTATTATTAACTGCATTACAATAATAAATCAACACATAAAAATAATCCACAATCAGTTCCCTTAGCTTTTTAGAGATACTACATGTGCTACCTGGCAAAGAAGCTATATCCTAACACAGTAAGACTGGATAATTTTGGAGAAAATTTAGCCTGATGGCTAGGTTGAATGAATTTCCATCTTTTTTTTTTTTTTTTTTGAGACAGAGTCTCGCTCTGTCGCCCAGGCTGGAGTGCAGTGGTGCAATCTTGGCACACTTCAACCTCTGCCTCCCA